GTGTGTGTGTATGTCTGGGTTTGTACCCTGTGATACAAATGGGGAGAACATCCAAGGTGTACCCCACCTTGTGCTTGTTGCTTACCAGGACAGACTCTGACTCACCCTCAACCCTGAGTTGGAAGAATCAGGTAGAAATGGATGTTCACAGAAGGCATTATTAATAAGAATTGCTTGTCCGGGTGAAACATACTATTCACAGACCACCTTTTCACTGATTTATATGTATACTTTACAACACAGAAAACATACTTGTGCTTTTAGGGGGTATTCCGAGTTGGAGGCATTCAATCTTAATCCCACAGATGGGAGCCTCATAACCTTGGCTTCTCAGCCAAGCACCCAGTGTCATGAGTGTGATTACTTTATGTCCACAACACAAATGTTAAGAAATCCCAACCTTAAACTTTTTTGTACTTCTCACAAAAAAGTCATCCAACCCTCAGATGGAGAGCACAGAATATGTTCAATTATGAACTCTACATCTGAGAGGCTTAAAGATGTTAATACTGTTGTAGTCAGTGTTATGTAGGCCACAAAACTATGCTCTCTTCACTGAAGAGTCCCAGTGTAGGATAAAATATAACCTGTAATATTAGTCTGTACATAGAGCAGAGTAAATCCTGTGTTTAAAATAGTATTCTTGTTGTCCTCAATCCTTAAGAATTGCGACCAGCGTGGACAGGACTACAGTCTTTCAGGATTTAAAAATGAATGACCCTTTCCAAAGACGCTATTGACACATGGTTGAAGTGCAGAAACAACTTTGAGCCTAAAAAAGCCACCTTACACAGCGCTACACTTAAGAGTGTCACACTAGGAAATGTCCCAGATATCTAGTGTTCAGATTAAACTGTTTTTATTATTATTATTTATTACTATTATTTGTGAAATTACAAAGTACACTATTCTGTCATCAGGTCCGTTGATCTGTGTTGTCTTATAAAACTGATTGCCAAAGAACTTGTGCAACTGTAAAGGTATGGTTAATACTTTTCGAAAGCTGGTGCCCTGTCTTTTGAGAGCTTCTTTTATCCTCAATTAAAAATCGTAATCTACAGGTCGTTGCTTCATACCCACGGAGTCCTCTGTATGCGTCATTAAAAAAGAAGGAATCGGTTTGGAGACACCTCGCTTGCATAGTGATTTACTGCGTTTTAATAATAATTTAAATAAACGATCGGTAAGGGGACAAAGTCGTTTCATTTCGGATATCCCGGAATGGCCTCGGTGCTACTGTCCAAGGAGTTTCGTTATACTAAGAGATCCGAGTCAAACCGGACAGTCTCGCCAATAATCACGGCGTGCGGATAGAAGGTGAGGAAAATCCCAAGACTCCGGGCACTCGGTAGTAAGAAGAATGAAGGCACCCCGACAGGTCTGAGATTTGCCGGAAATCGCAAACCCCCTGTAACTTCATCGATGGCAAAGTGTGTCTCGGATCTCTGGTTGGGGGCAGCCTGTGCGAGTTCAGCGAGGGGTCCATTTCTGGTAAAATCTCGAACACTCTGCTGCCGCGCTTGTGACTCAGCAAATGGTGTGGTTTCATCCCAACTTTTCTGAATCTGACGAAATCATTCCGGCTGGAATAAAGGCAGCTCCAGCTCTGCTCGTTTCCCGCTGGAAACGAAGAGTAACGCGCCCTAGAGAGGCACGGCTAAGGTGCTACCAGAAAACACGGTTAATACGCAGCGACCTTACGCAGCTCCAAGACGAAACTTCCTCATCGCAGTAACAAAGCGGGCTGCTCGTTACACCTGAGCCGACTGCACCGAAATACCAAGTTGTGCGGGCTTCAAATACATCACTAGACGATAGACTGGTGAAAAAGTCAAATGTTTAATTAGAAATCGTGCCAAATCAAAACGCACACATTTCAGACAAGGTAACCATTGCATCAAAATAAAACTTTAAGAAAATGACGACGCGGATCGGTCCGTGTGCTGACACATGGCAGTCAATCACATACTTACCTCGACGCGGACAGGACTTCAGAGGGCTGATGAACTTTCTCGCCGGTCGTGCCGGGCAGGATCCAGTCCACACGACGCAAAGAGATCGGCGTTCACACTCCAGGCGCTTCGCAGCAAGAGAACTCCATGATTTAACCCCATAGCATCATCACAAAAAAAACAACAACTACGAATTAAAAACAAAACAAAAAAAAACACCCGGGAAACTATCAAATGTTACATTCTCTCGCGCGGTGTATCTGAAGACAGGAGGGCAGCGTCCACCTCTGCTGGAAGGAACTTGCGAGTCGAGGCGCTCAGCGCGACCAACATGTTCCGCCCGGCTGGTGTCTGAGGCTGGAGACCAGGCGGCGCACCAACCCGGCGACAAGGCAGCGGCGGCGGGGATGACACTCAGCTGATTGACGGCAGTCAGGTGGGCAGCTTCTGGTTGGGTGGCTGGACTGCGGGCCCGCCTGGTAACCACCGCTCATTCGCTCGTTTTTTTTTTTCCCCCCCCCCCCTCTCTTTCTCTCCGCACTCGTCGCCTTCTTCTCGGCTGCTCGCCGCCCACAACCCGAAACGTGACCGAGTGAAAAAAGCCGCACTCGAAAAAATATATATCCGCATACGTCACGCAGCATAGCGACGCCCTCTCATTGGTCGAAACATGAAATGACAACGCCTTGCTGCTCATTCCCCCAAACCCTTATAGATCTGCGTCATGCCGCGCTTGCAGATTTACCCAGAAACGCTTTGCTATTGGGACTCACGACCTAAAGCACATCCAATGAGTGGAAAAGATTGAAGAGGATTTTTTTGTATTATTCTGACGAGGATTTAAATCACGCTTTGCCTTTGCCAGCTCCGAGTGCGTGTGCGCGTGTGCCTGGGATGTGGGCTCGGGGAGTGACGTAGCAGCAGTGTGGCAGGATGCGTGCCGGTCGGGCTGCTCGGCCACTCGAAGAGCTTCGTGTTGCGGTGCTCAGGTCACACAGTGTGGATTAGCAGCACTTTGTGCTTTTAAAAATCAAGAATAAGAAAGAAAAAAAACATTATTTCCCAAAATGCGCTCTCAGAAAACTACAGAAATAACACATACTTCTTCACAAAAGTGAGGTTAAATGCATGAGATATGACGATTTTTAGATCAGCAGCGTTCATCAACTGACGAGCAATGTCTGAAATCGAGTGTGCTGCAGCACGTTTTGAAGAGTGCCTGCGACACGCCCTGTTACTTTTCACAAGACTCAGCCTCCATGAGACTGTAGGTTTGTGTAGCTGCACCCTCTGTATAACCCTGCATTAAATGCTAACGCGAAAAGAATAAATGTCCCCTTTCCCAGCACCAAAATAAAATGAACTTATTTCAAAACCTTGCAGTTTTGGAAACCCGAGTGGAAGGAAGATACACAATGTACTTTGCTTTAAAGTCTTTGCACGGGGGTCACGTAACAGGAAGTTGCTTCACAGCCCTTTCGAACGCCGGCAGTCGGGCCTCAGGGGTTAAAGTCTAAAGTAAAATCGAAGTGTCGCGGACATCGTTAAAAAGAGCCTCGAAGGTTAACCGCCTTCTAAGAAACGGCGCCTGCATTTCATTTTCCAAAACCAACATTTAGCTTCTGGGCAGTGTTAACACTTATGTTATTAAATGCTGAACTCCCGCAGAGGATGGCCTTTATCTTGGAACTAAATATTGACAATGTCTCAGGTAGAGTTAGTCACGATACTTGCTCCCCCCTGGATTCTGTTTTACAGGTTCTCATCACTAAAACATGCCCATCAGTTTTGTCCAGATTAAGGACACGAGAACAGTTGTAAGCACGTTTCCTGAAATAAACCAGTGCATCAGCAGCAAAAATCGGGTGGTGGGTTGGCGAGGTGGCTAGTATTGCTGCCTTTACAGCACTGGAGTCCTAGGTTCAATTCTGGACTTGGTGTACTCTGTGGGGGAGACTGTCTGATCCCCCTGTGTGTGTGTGGGCTTCCTCTCACGGTGCAAAGACACACTGGTGGGTTAATTGGCTTCTAGGAGAATGAGCCCTGGTGCGAGTGCGTGTCTGTGTCTGCAGCTTGCACCCTGTCCAGGATGTATCCTGCCTTGTGCCTGTTCCTTGCTAGGATAGGCTCTGCATCCCCTGTGACCCTGAGTTGGATGAAGCAGTTAGAAAATAGATTTAAATTCTGCACTCTTTACTATATATCCTGACTCTATGCCTACGTTTTTATTGCTTTCCCACAGTGTCTGTCTGGCTTCCTCTATTTGAGGGTTATGTCCAGAAACATCTTGAAAGGATCCCTCTGGCAGTTTGCTCCATATAACCACAACATTTTGTGAAAAGAAGTTACTCTTGTTCTTGGCTCTAACTGCACAGCCTCTTAATGTTCTCTGGTCTTCCTCAGGTCCTTTTGCCACTACAGGTTCTGAGGTGAAACCACGGGGAGACTCTTGTCGATACTTTCCAAGAATTAAAATACTTGTCCTAGTCCTTTCAGACTCCTCCATTGAAGGCTTAAGTTTTTTTTTCCTTTAACCATGTCATGTCTTAGATATGACTCTGGTGCACTTCATTCCTCAATCCAGAAAACGAACAACCCTTTTGTAGCCTTTTTTTACTAGTGGCATTACACCTTATTCTGACCTGCAGCTAAACAAAAACGTGTACTTAATTGCCCTTAAAATGCGACTGCATAGACTCTTATTAATATTCAAGTAAAACAGACAGACAGTGACATAAAAATATTGATTAGCTCAGGCTTCAGAAAGAAGTGTAAGTGTTGTAATAGAACTGGAAGGATGTAAAAAATACAACTCAGTATTTTCAAGTAAGAACTGGTACAACTATCAAGAAAACAGCCTTTTTACTCCACATGTTTGATGGCAGTAAATGACAACACACACAGTAATATTTTGTACCTTTTATTAAAAAGTATTTACAAAAATGCTACAATGTATTTTATTCAAATATAAAAAAATGCATACAGCCTACCATAGGTTTAGGTATTAAATGTCAATGTGTACTCAATTTACATCCTGGATGATTTGCACTTTTATTGAACTGTACTGACGCTGGTCAGAGGGAAGGTGTGTAATACGGTTTATAATACTGGTTCTCGTCTAACATTTTGCCTGAGTAATCTCTCATCTGTGTAAAGGAACAGTAATCTCTTTAGAACGAGACAGCTGCTCACACAACTTGGTTAATAAATCATATTTTAAAATTCAAAAATACCTTGATTTAAAACATTGTTATGGTGATCCATACCATTTTCAACACTGTTCGTACGTTTGAGGTCTGTGGTAACTTACTGCATAGAACATGGAAAATCTGCCATACCTTGAGACATTGCAATGGTGCTTGAAGTTTAAAATGCAAAAAGACAAATGAAGTTTTCATTTTGAAAGTTCCATTACACGCAATCTGACATGCTTGTGTTTAATAAATAAAAAAATAAATTAAAACTAATAACTTAAGACTGGGTGGGACCCATAATTCTTCATTTGTAACAATACAAATAAGAAAATATGGCTTCTAACAGCAAAAGCAGGACCATGTTGAAATTTCAGCAATTAAGCAATCATTTGACTTAAGCATATCCCACTTGGCAAATCTAACAGATGCAACTGTGCATTTTTCCCTAAGCACTAAAATATAATAAGGTGCTTGTCACCATTTGTACACTGTTTGGAATTTTAAAATACATTTATATCCTTTTTGAGCACATATTTCATTCAGGGACTGAATCAAAGGAAGACATCATATAAAACCTTTCCACATAGATCACCCGCCCCCCCCCCCCATAATTCTCTCAGGTTAAAGAAATCTACAAGTACTGTAACATTTCCCAAGCAGTATGTGTTGAAAAAATATATATTTTATATTTTAGATATTTCAATTATTTTTAAGAAAATATGTGTAACTTTAGAACTCCTGATACATAACTTGTTCTGTTCTCCATCATGTAGTGTAATGACATCATTCTAGAGTAAATGCCACAATAAATTAAAATTGAAAAACATAACCCACATATAGAAAACATACAAAAAGTATGCAAATAAAATGACAATGGTTGGCACGTAAAATCACAGCCCTTGCAGAACATGATCAAACCATGTTATGCCAGGGCTCCTGATTTGACTTACCTTCCATGTAAGTGCGTGAGCATGTGTCCTTACACACACAGAAACACACACAGTCCGTAAGACACGTCTTGATTAGGAGCCAACGATAATCTCCATTATGTGATCTAGTTCATTGAGATCTGGCCGGCAGCTGGAGTTCGAGCTGATTGAAGATGGACTGTGGGACGACAGGCTCTCCAGCAAGTCATAGGGCCCCATTTTGGGAGAGCTCTGCATCCCTGTCAGCATGGTGTCCAGATCGTAATAGGAAGTGTCCACGTCGGAAAAGAGCTCCTCCAGCGCCGGGTCTGGGCTGGGAGCAGGGTTCTTGATCTCAAAGCTCCCGAAGACTTGCTCCGCGTGCTTGGCGTCTTCCTCCTCGGGGCGGTTCTCCTTCTGGTCCTCTTTCTCCCAGGTGGCGATGGCGCTGGGCAGGTAGGCCGAGGCGGCCTCAGGGGAGACCGTGCACAGCGTCTCGTCGACCACCTCGCCCGGGTTGCCGCCCAGGGTGTGGCAGGCGTCGTAGCCGCCGACGTTGAACGACTTCTCCTCGTCCTGCTCCTTGGGCGATGGCCGGCAGAGGATTTCCGTGGCGACCAGGCGGTCCGCGGAGTTCTGGCTGGCCTGCAGGGCCTCCGTCATGACCTGCCAGCTGCCGTCCTGTGTCATCTCCTCCTGGATCTGGCGCACCGTGTTCGCGATGAGGACGGACCGGCACAGGTTCGGCTCCACCAGCATGTGACAGAGCTGCAGCTTGATCAGGGACATGTCCAGCAGCGACTGGCGCTGGAGGTCATACGAAGACACCACCTTCAGACTGGCGGGGCTCTCGTCCACAATTTCATCGCCATCACAATATTTGCGTTTTGTGCCCTTAGGAAACATTTTTAATCTGTTAACAAAATGAAAACATGGGATTGATTACCATACGGTAAAGAGAAGATACAGACAATAGCACAACACACACAAACAAAAAAGCATGTCTTAAGCACTTTGACTGTGGAAAACCAACAGTATTATTTGTAGATTAACTTCCCAGTAACTTTATCAAATGTACACATCCTATCAACTTAACGTTCAAGTCAAGCAGTAGCCTAGTACTAAACACATCACTATTATACACTGTATCTACAAGCACACATTTAACTAAAAGCTAAAAATGTCAATTCTATTTTCTATATATGTTTAAATATGAATTTTAACAAGAAAATCTATTTGAAGGTGTGCATTTCTTTTCTGAAAGTTGTCAGTGCTGTACCTTTCCTGTTGAGAGGCACAGGCATTAACATACCATTTTCTTCCTGAATGCATCGCTTCAATACTTTTGTACTGGCGACAAACAGCTTTTGTTCTGCTCTCTTTCTGCCCATTTTAGGCCAGTCAGAAGTAAGGTTCCTGCGTGGGCGGAATAATGAAGCTTTAAACAGCCCCTAATCCACTGCAAAGTACAGCATGTTACTAGTTATCCTCAACTAATTCTTGGTTAACCTTATCCCACAGAATATCTGTCTTGATTTTTACTGATGAAAACAGTCACATAATCAAGTGAAAATATAGGACACTAGCCATTAAACAAAAGTGAAACACTAAACCTAACAATTTTGATCATAGAAGAATCAAAGATAAGTCATTTGTTTCCCCTACGTACAAATCCTTCTGAACTCAGGATGACACTTTTAAGAAAACCTCCAATAAATGATTACTGAAAGTAAATTCTGCTCAGAGGAAAAATATGGACAAATAATTGTATAAAGAGATAAAAAGGTGCCATAGTTTAAGTGTTCAACTCAGTAGACACTTTTCAGGGAACTACTCTTGATTGCTGTTTTTTTTTTAATTTTGGAGTCCTAGTGCAACTCATACTTTGCATAATTTAATATTGATCACCTTCAAATTAAAGGCTAGAACTCACAATGAGTAATATTTATCTCTGTAAATAGGTCTGGTCTCCAAAATAAAGCCATTTCTACAGATAGCTAATCAACGCGTAACAAACTGCATAAAAATGTTAACGTTTTCCATTTTCCTTAATATTTTAAACACCACGCTCAAAAATAATCTATACCCAGCATCGTAGAAAGCTAAGAAATTTCAAGTCACAGTTTTCACACTTGATTAGGTTAATAATTTCCCAGCAAATGGAAGAATTTCAATTAACTTCCAATAGAACTCAAGACTTGTTAGGCTGGTGTTTTTGCATTATCTAACTACTCAAGTTGAGTCCCTACTTGACTACCTTGCTTATTAAAACTGGCTCATCACATTAATCAAAGCTGTAATCCTGAAAAACATTTCCCTAGCCCCCACGACTACCCATCACTGAAATTTTCTGAAACACAGAAACACACTCTAGTATCACTGAACAGTACTGTACGTACATCTAGTATTGAAATGAGTATTGAGCACTTGCCTCCACTGTCACAGGACAAGCCAGCCAGACCTGCTGAGCCTAAAAATAATAAACATGTATCTAAAGCAAAGAGAACAATCACATGAACCAGCAGTTCATTGCACATCACATCCAGAAACACTTCTGATGTCTGTTGAATGCGGGGCTTTTTCTTGGTTTACACTGAGCAAGACCAAGGAAAACAGAAGTCTGAATAATTCCTGAATATGAAGGCAATTCACAATCTACATGCACACTTTCTGTTTAATGATGTTTCCCCCTTTGGGCTTAAGATCTGTACCCCATTTCTAAAAGCAATACAAATTATTCCCAAACAAAAAACACTTTTTGAGCTTTTCATGGCTAAAATATGTGAGAGAGAAATGGTTGCACAATACAGGAATGTAGGATTTGACCCAGTTCAAATAATATATGTATACCAACACAAGACAGAATCAGGGCACAAGCAAGATCAAGGTAAAGTCATTGTAGATGGTCCTACCTGACCCACAGCGTGATATCCATACTCTTTCAGCCGCAGATAAGAACACACCTGATCTGCTGCAGCAGGGTCATACTAAAACTGCAATCAACACGCAGCACAACTATCCTTCTATCTGCTCTCCGAGCCACACTTAACGATGTTTGAAAAACTAGAAACATTAGGGGTCTGCTACAGAAATGAAAAGCAGATATTAGTAGTAATGGCAAATAAAAAGCACAGATCTTATGCAAGACCGCTACTCTTCCCAAACAATTGCCTCTGACAAATATACACTTACACCTCCAATATGTCTGAAACAAAAGAGAGACAGTTGTCAAATGAAGTTAAAATTCTTGGTAGAATCAAATAGTGTAGAGAAACCCAAGTCCTGATGAGGTACTTGAATATTGCTACAGGGCCTAACAATTCACTTGCCTGCAGCACCCTGTTATCTGAAAAAAGGGTTTGGGGTTAAATTTAATTCTTTTGGATTGCTTAAGTGAAAAGGTCCTGGTGAGAATCACTGAAATGAGACTGTGTATCTCAGGAGGAACAAAAGGAAGAATCCACTGAATTATTTCTGCATCTACAGACATTCGGGGGTGATCAGCACTCCACCTGCTGAGTACGAGATCGCCTCCAACCGACACAGGGACTGCAGCTCTAATCTAAGCAACCATATTTCAGTACTGACACACACGCACAAAAAGAAAGGGTCATTTTAATAAAGCAAAAAAAAAATCAAGGAGTGATTATTACTGAAGATTCACAGCTTTTCAACATAAGGTTGTCAACTGCACACCTAGAGAAAAGACCAAGTTCAAAGTAATCACATTGCTACAGGGATGGACAACACTTTTGACTGAAAAAGCTGACCTGGGCTGCAAACAAGAACAAAAAGGTCAATCATAGATTAATCAATTGTTTGAATAAACTGAAAAAAGGTCTCAAAAAGGTCAGTTTATAAATGAGAGCATCAAACAGGCACGTTTTCAATTTGAATAAACCTTAATATAATTTGGTTAATGACTGGACTCCATACAAGGTTGTGTTTGTTACTTTACTGAGGTGGCTTGCTTAGGACGTTGAGCGTTGGAGAATCGACTGGCACTCTCAACTGAAAAAAATAACGACGGAGCATTTTTCTGCACCATTTATCGAGTTTTTTTTTTTAATTCGGAGAACGTGGTTCTTATTGAGTGAGAAATAGTTTGAAACGGAGATGAAAACCAGCCTCGACTTCCACTGGGCAGAGCAAGGAAAAGAATGATGAGAGAGTCCGTCTGCGCCACCGGGAGATATGTACCCGTGGCAAACATCCATAAATATTCTCGGCTGGGAGCCCGGCCAACTCAGACAACAACTCCAGCCGCCTTCCCTCGCCCTCTACAGGAATGAACTGCACTTACATCTGAAACACATCAGGCAAGTCAGGCACAAGGCAGAAAACATCAGAAAGAGCCCCGGGGCCGCTTCATCCCGACTTTCGAATTTCCCACCCCACGCCTGACAATGCCAGCCCCTGAGCGAGTTAAAGTGGCACAGCTGAAACATGCCGCACGCACACTGAACCACGGCCACGGACCCCCCCCATCTCGCCTCCCAGATGCAGACAAGCTCCACCCCGGCTCCAGTCCCCCTCCCCCACAGCCCTGACGTCGCTGGCATTCCCCTACCGGTTAAAGTCATTAATTCCACAAAATTTCGTCGCCCCCCCCCCCTCCCTCCCCAACATATAAAACAGCAAATAATTAAAATAAATTTACAGTACTGGTTCACGGATTGTTAAGTCGAAATCAAACTCTCGAGCAGGACGCATTCACGATCGCCCGACCCCGTCGTGACGGTCCGCTTTGTCCCCCACCGTTCAGGCACGGAAAAGCGCCTGAAAGAGCAGTGGCGACAACAAGGAGGGCAGCCATTTTGAATTTGCTAACTCCTTCTCGTCCAGTTACTTTTGTACCTAAACTAAAAAGGGGGGCATCGGCTGCGGCTCTGCGAACCCTCGGTCCGATTGCCGACGTTCGGAACATTTGTGATGTTTTAAATAATCCCCCCCGCACCTTTTCGGTCGGCCGTACTGGCGAAAAGAGGGAAAAGTACCGCCGGGGCACTTCCGCATAAGAATGCTTTAAGGCTGTGCTAACTCATTCCGCCAGATGCAATGATTTTGAAACGCTCTTAATTTGATCGTTTCAGACCGTTAAAATAACAGAGGAATTCACGTTTCGCCGTTCGAAGCTTACCTTTCCGTGCAAGTATATCTTACTCTTTGCCGGCGGCGGTCATAAGCTCTGAGTTGGGAGAATTAAAGGCACAGCGCTGTGACTCCGGGCTTCCCTGACACTGTGTAGCCCGAGCTGGCTGTCGATCCCCAGCTGCCGCGGAGGAAGGGTGAAGTGGGCGGACACGCTGCCTCTTGATCGACAGCCCCATTGCTTCAACTGAGAAACTCGAACAAAAGCCGCACACACAAGGAACCCCAGCCACGTTTCAGACAGTATGCTCTCTGTGCTTGATTTGTTTTTGGAGAGTAATACGTTCCACTGCAAACACGCTCAATCCAAAATTAAAACAAGGCTATCTATACGTGAGAGCCAAAAATGGATAGTTTTCTAATGCGTAGTTATTAAAGGAATATAACAAATTACATACTCCAAAGCTTCTTACTTTGCATGGCATTCGAAAGAACAAAAGTCAGAAGCTTTATGCTGTAATATGAGTTTAATATTTTGGACACTGTGAAATAAACAAATTAACTACAGTGTTCATACAGTAAGCACAGGGTATCTGTTGAGAGTTCAGTGGTCAAAAGCACAATATAATGCTGTGATGAGATGGTCTCTTTACCATCTCTGACAACTGCCTTCCTCAGCACTCATCCACAAAGACAGACTGACAGCCTAGATGCACTGTGGGGTGTGAGGAGGTGTCTGCCCTGGGATCATCATTGGCACAAAATTGAAATATATTATGCAGTATGGTGTTGTGTATTGCAGCTATTACTCCTTAGTTGCCCTTACAGTGGGAAGAGAGGTGGGAGAGTGGAACAGTCACGGACTTTGTTAGTCTTTTCAGTTACGCGGGTGTGCTAGTCACGGAGAGGATGCTTAGGGAGGAGGGCGTGGAGAGGAGTAACAGCTACTGCCCCTCGCCTCCAATGGAGAGATAGGAGGCTTCTCTGTCAGTGGGGGCCGTCAGGGCTCTGGGGGTTATGGAGAGATGGACAGGGCATCGAGGATGGAGAACGTGGCAAAGGGCAAGGCAAGCTTCACAGCAAGGGGTAAAGAGTGAGGGGCGGTCCGAGCTTCGCGGCTCCTGTGGGGCGGTCGCTGACACGGAGTTTCTGCTCTGTGAAGGCGGAGTATGTGGCCTCCCAGGAAAGAGAACGTTCCTTGGTGAAGATCCACCTGGGCCTTGCCGACCCCAGAATACAAGCTTCTCAGTCCAGACTCGGCCTCTGAACTGCAACGGACAGCTCCTCAAGCGCAGACATCCACCATGCTTATAGGGCATCTGGATACCATTTGCACAAGGGCCTGACACGGCTTTCTTCACCCTCAGACAGATAGGTGATAACAGAGCTGGGGCTCAGGCGCTGTGTGGATGTTTTGCAAACAGAGTTGTGTCGGTGGTTCAGGCAGGACTGGTTGGGGGGGCAGTTGCGTCTGGACAGTATGGGCTCCCAGCCATTTCCCTGTGCGGCTGTGGGCAAAGCCTCCGCATCCAGGCTTGGAGGCTTAGGCTGGTGAGCACAGGGGTCCCTGCACTGACAAGCCCCCAGTGAAGCTGCAGTACGCTCACTGAAAATCTTCTTCACCTCCCGGGCCTTTTCAAGTGCTGCCTCTAGGCCCACTGGAGGTGTGAGGTGCACGTGATGCCTTAAACAATTGGAGGTCTGGCTGTAGATAAACTCGTGGGTTAGCAGCTCCTCTTGTGCTTCTCTGAGAAACAAGACAAGCTCTGTGGATGAGGTGATAGAGGGTGGCTGCAAAGACATCTAGTCTGTTCCCATATTGGATGTGATGGACTGACTCTGGTCTTTACTCCTCGGCTACTTCTAGCTTTTGCCAGCAGCCATATCTCCCTGCAGCTCACAACTGGCAGCCAAGGTGTGAGCCTGGTCAGTACCTGGATGAGAGACCTCCTGGGAATAACTTAGGTTGCTGCTGGAAGAAGTGTTTGTGGGACCAGCAGGGAGGGCTCACCCTGTTGTCTGTGTGGGTCCTTTTTACTCGATATAGTGACGGGGACACTATACTGTTGCAATGCTCTGTGGGAAGCAAAGGGCATCCACTGTAACCGAGGAAGTCTCCAGTCGTGATGACTACTCGTACCACTGGACCCAGGCGAGAGAGTGGGACTTCCCAAGTGCAATGGCTTTCCCACTTCAAAAAGCTTTCCCGCACCGGTTTCTTCATGCAGCTCATCTTCCAAACAGATGAGCTGCACAAAGTACAACCGTCATCATCAGACATGACAGACAACCATCACTTCTAGCTTTTAATTCCAGCTCTTGCTCCAGCTCCACTATCGGGGTCCAACCATGTGCCCCTGTCAGTGGAAGGCCTCTGTCCCCAGCCTGTCCCAGAGTACCCGCTGCCAGAAAGATGCTCTCCACTGTTTGTCCCTCTTGTACCCGGTCCTGAGGTGATGACAATCCCACTTGGTTGATACCATTGCAGTGATTCCTCCTTCGTTCGCCTTGCAGAGTCGGCAGTGTGAGAAGAAGGAAACTGCAGCTCACGGTGACTTTATCACCTTTTCAGTTACAGGAGTGTGCTAGTAACGGAGAGGAGAAACGGCTACCGCTCTGCAGCATGGGGTGGCACACAAAAGAGAACGAGAGGAGGGATGAGTCCCTTTCAAAGAGGTCAGAGTTCAAAGGGTGCCTGGACAAACCACAACCGGGGTGGAACCCTTCAGCACATTTTCAAGTTACGTGGACTCTTCAGTTAATAACTGACTGCGAACATTGAGTTATTATTGAAGTCTTCAAAAACAATTCAACACCTGCATCTGTATCAATTTATTTATTTTATTCACAGGGGTAGTTCTCTATTAAGTGATAAACATCAAGACTACTCAGGGACAGCTTTAGAAGAAACATGGTGGCTAGGTTGCATGTAGGAATGTGATCTAAGGATCTCATCCACCCGATTGTGGACATATCTTTTTTCATCTTGGTAAAATTGTGTGGATCCTAACACATCTCTTCCCGTCTGCTTCAGGAAAGCTACAGCAATGTCTGCTTTTGTAGTTTCCAGACTTGATTATGGAAATACAGCGCTTGCTGGTGTATCCAGGCATGTTCTCAATAAGTTGCAGTGTGCTCAAAACTTCATAGCTTGAACCCTAACTAAAACTAAAATCTGTGAGCATGTATCACCTGCTTTAGTTTCTTTGCACTGGGTTCGTGGGTATTTTAGAATGAGATTCAAAATTGTGCTGCTCATCTCTAAGTACTTGAGCAGCTTGGCTCCCAACTACATCAGTGAACTGTTTACTCCCTACACACCTCCACATCGTCAGCACTGCTCGGACTCTGGTCCTCTAATAGTTCCCAGCATGGCTCTTGGAACAGTGGGAGATCCTGCTCTCTGTTCTCGTACCTCAGGTCTGTGGAATGATCTGTCCATGAAAACTGATACACCATAACCTAACTGAAAACACCTTATTTCTTTATACACTTTATAAAATGTCAAAGGAAACCTAAAAGAAACCCAGAAGTATTCATTCTGAACCTAAACGTTTGCTACCAACTAGACTGGTTTAGAAGTCATAGGAAGGAATTTTCTACTCAGATGGAAAAAGGACCATACTGCAGCCTTCAACGTTTTCATTTTCTATTACAGTAAATGCATTAGAATTAATTCAATGACTGGATTGTAAAAATAGGCTGAATACAAGACAAAGCTATTTTTATATCAAATAAATCATGCCTGCCTGGGTGCCTTTGATGGTCATGCCAGTATACAGTGTCCCTTCTCTGAAAGTCTAAATTCTTCAGTTACTATTAGATTTAATGTACTCATTTTTACTCAGGATTGTGAATTTACCCTTTCTGAAACATTTATACAAAGCAACACTGAGATATAATAAGTACATGCTTGACATTTAAGATAGTCCTTTCAATCAGAGAAAAAAATGTTTTTGGCTTCTTATATACAGTATATACAGTATAGTGCTGGCACTTCATTGACAAATGCATGGATGATACTGCATTATTCCTGATTAAAAACCTTATCTGCAATCAGACACAAACACACTAAAGCAGAACTTTTTTGTCTGGGCACATGCTCATACCTAGGGCCAGTTTTCTCAGCAGCTTATTGACCTACCAATATGCTAGTCTTTTAGACTGTGGGAGGAAACCAGAGCACCCAGAGGAAGCCCATGTGAACACAGGGAGAGCATATAAGCTCCACACAAATAGCATCCCAGGTTTGGAATTAAACTCAGTTCCCCAGCACTGCAAGGGTGCCATGCTAATCACTGCACTGCCTTCGGACACAAAATGTTATTTAAAGGCTTGATTGATTAGAAGTGGCACCCAAAACAGGGGTTACTGTCCACAAACTTGGAAAACTTTTCATCCTAATCACCCCCCACTGTATAGGGATCAGATTCAGGTGTTCAAAACCTTGACAGACATAGAGCAAGGCAACGCAGGGACCTGCCTGATCATTGGCTGCAGAAGGACCTGGAAGTATGAAATCAAGATTCGGACCAAGGCTGAAGTACAAAGGGGATTGTGGGAGTCTGGGAGCAACTTCCCAGTCAAGTGGTTGAATCCTTTAAGAGAGGGATAGATAGAATTCTGTGGCCACTAAGCTACTATGAACCAACTGAGCAACAGGGGTTGACATTTGTTTGTTCGTATATTAAAGGTTTCTGTAACACTTTCACAACCAGACAAGCAGGGTTTACTAGTTCTTCCGGTTTAGCAGTGGGACTGTGATGTCACAATGCCTTGAGAATTTCTGCCAGAAAAACGCTTGAGCTAAATATATGACAGTGGGATTACTCCCGCAAGCACAGCGACAGAGACTGAAGGAAGCTGTTTCTTCCCTTGGGAATGAAAGAATGGATCCCATATTCACATCAGGATAATTTTAGCCAGTAGTAACAATCTGTTCAGATGTTAAAGGTCTAAAATCCAGTTCATGCATCATAAACAGGACAAGATCATTATGTGTTATAATGTCAAAAACAGCACTTTTGGAACACCCTGAGTTAAAAACCAAGGTGCTACTGTTGGCACTTCCCAAGAAACTACAAAACAGTAATAATACATTTTCATTTACACTTTCAATCAGTTAATCATCACTTTGACCTAGGAAATTTCTTAGGTGAAAAGTTTAAGGAGTCAGATATCAATCATCTGATTTTTAGGAAA